ATGATAGGAATCTGGACTAATTTTGACACCGCTTGCAGCGTTTTTCGGCTTTGCCGGCTTTAGACAATTATCCTGCCTCCCCACTGAGTACATTATAACTAATAGCTGCTATTTTCCTACTTTTGTCCAATCGCGGAAAGGAAATTTAAAATTCCTATCCACACCTTTGCAGTCGGACTAGGTGCTTAAGGAAGGCCATAAAATAACAACCTGTTTTGGATACGACGGAGGTACTTATTTTCAGTAGGAGGTCCTTTGATTAAAGGAATTTATGGGAAGTGCTGTCAGTACTGATTTTACAACAAAGAAAATGTCATGTGATGGACTGTCTAAAAGTGTCCAAAAGAAAAGAGTACTTAGGGTGGAATCCTATGGATTTTTTAGAGAAGAACCAAACTGTCAAAATCATGAAAATGACTCGAATATGATAGATGGTGTAGCTTAGTAAGTATCAAACTTTGCGAGAAAGATATAAGTTCTTTGGCTTGTTTTTCGTGAAGTAGCAATTCATTTTATTTCAACAACACATGTAACAGATATAAGATATGGCTGATGTGAGATAAACACAAAGAACACCTAAGGAAGTGATTATCATGCCAGAAATATGTGATATCCAACAATGTAATACACACACATGAAAGGTTGTTTCTTTGTGTATTGCAGTAGCCTGTGTGGAATTCAGTTACATCATCCATTTGTAATTCTATCTGGGTTAATTGGACAAAATTGACATGATTGTGGAGCAGGTAGTTCGTTAGTAAGTCATGCATTAATTACACAGTGTTCCACCCAATTTTTAAAGCCTTTTACAGCCGTTTTGCTGAAATATGTGAAATATTTTGCTGAATTCCGTGAAGTTTGGGGTATTGTTGCTTTGTTGGTGCTTTTGGCAGTGATACTGAAGAGAAAATGAACATTCCAAAGTGAATCATGAACAAGCTGTGTTGAGCACAGTCTCTCTCTCTCTCTCTCTCTCTCTCTCTCTCTCTGCCTCTTTGTTTCTTTCTCTCAATTCTATCACATAGCTATAAGGCAGACTAACAGCATAGAGCCAGAAACATGGACCCTGTGCCTTGACAAGGGTATTTATTGTGATGCCTACGATTTTCATTATAAGCCTTCCTTAGCATCGTTCTATAAACTTTTGTTTTTAGTTTTGACATGTTTAAAGATGACTGAAAGTTTAAAACAATTTTCCAACAAAATCTACTATCGGTTTAAATTTATAGACAAGCCCCGGGTTAGGGTAAAGAGAAAGAAAACAGAGTTTTATCTCCCTGTAGGCCAAAGGGCAGAGGCTGGTCACCGCCCTCATTAGACCTGGTTGGAATGAAATTTGATTGAAAATCAATCCATTTCAATCCAATGGGACTATAATTGAAATTTATTAGGACCACCCTCTGGGGCAACAAAATCAAAACGGCGTGATTCAGAGGTCGTAATCAAATTAGAGATGTTACGATCCTTTTATAGCAAGGTCATACTTGCATATGTACAGGATTTTGTAATGATTGAAATCCAGAGACATGAATCGTACATGTAAATACTTCCAGAACTAAGGAGCTTTTATGTATAATTCATCATGTACAAGTATTGTCCTCTAGACAAGTTGTAGGGAAAAAATTTGAACACCTGAACCCTATGTTTATAACTGGTCTCTGCACAACGACTACATTTCAACCAATGACTTTTTCTGTCAATAAAAATTTTTAGTTCGGTGCACCAGTTCACCTATTCCCAGAACTGAATTTTGAGCTCTCTCCTTGTAGGTTTCAGTCCATCTGATAAAACTTCAGACATCTGTTTATGCCAGAGCTGAGATTGGCAGTGTCCAAGCTACTTTGGTCTGCAACTGTTTCAACTTGACAATTTGCATCTCTCCAACATCCCCCCACGTTTAGCAGGACTCATTAGGGGGTGGCCTGAGCTGGGTCCAGACATGTGGCCAACATTCTTCTGTACTGACAAGGAACAGGTGTGATGGGGGCACGCTCAAGTTAACGCTTTGTTTTATGTTATCTATTGTTAACTCATTGAGAAAAGTTGTGTTTTTACAAGTATTTGTTTCTTCACTTGCTGATTTTGTTTTGAGCCATATCCTTGTCATGAATAAGTACTAGATTGATTAAAAACCAGATACTGGCCTTGTAAAAGGTAGCAGAGGTACATAAAGGTAGACTTTAAGAATAAGAAAAAAGGTCCATGAGAAGAAAAAAAAAAACAAA